CCGCCGTGTGGAAGTGCATACCGAATAATCGCGGGCCGCTGCATCACTGACTTTTCCGGGCCAATATTGCCTTGTGCCCGATTTCCAGGGGGGGATTAGCCTCCCTTCCGGAGATTGCTTTACTTGGGCTCAACCACGCATTTGGTATGAATCTCCCTAGTCAGGGATTCAATTTTTTCACTGAGTTCTTTGATGATTTCCGTCAGCTGGGTATTTTGCTCCATCAGCGCTAGTAATTGCATGGTCTGTTTACTTGCTAAGGACTCTCTTTGTTCGCTAGCAGTTGCCAGTTCCTCTCTGTGTCGGGCGTCTGCATCTGCATGCGCTTTATCTCGATCTGCTTGGCGTGTTTGAGCAAGAAGAATCAGTGGCGCGGCATATGCAGCCTGAAGACTAAACGCCAAGTTTAATAAGATAAATGGATATGCATCGAAGTTTGCATACCCAAAGACATTTATGGTTATCCACACTGCGACCACAACTGTCTGCGCGATGAGGAAAATGGGTGTACCAAAAAACCTGGCGAAGGCCTCCGCTTTTAAGGCAAACCAGTCGTCGCCAAAGACAGATGACAAGTGCGCGAAGGGCAAATGGAACCTGAAATAGTAATTGCTAGGTTTGGATTTTTGATTCATCTTCACTTCAGAAATAGGCTGTGTAAAGACAGTTTAGCCACGCAGTGTGCAAGCCAGGCCACTTTTATTTAGGCCAGTTGCATCTCTAGAACCTGCTCGGGCACAATCAATTTGGCTGCGGTTGCAGCAACAATGGCCTCTATGCTGATGCCTGGTGCGTGTTCGCGCAACACTAAGCCATCCTCAGTCGGTTCAATAACGGCCATGTCTGTCACAATCAGGTCTACACGGCGCACGGCGGTCAATGGCAGGGTGCAGCGCGGCAGAATTTTTGACTCTCCTTTGGCCGTGTGCTGCATGGCGACCACCACTTTTTTTGCGCTGCTCACCAAATCCATGGCACCACCCATGCCTGGCACCATTTTGCCGGGGACCATCCAGTTGGCCAAATAGCCACGCTCGTCAACCTCTAAACCACCGAGCACAGTCATATCCAAATGCCCACCACGAATTAAGCCAAAGCTCATCGCACTGTCAATAGAGGCCGCGCCAGGTATGGCGCTGACAAAGCCGCCACCTGCATCGGTAAGGTCAGGGTCTTCCATGCCGTCAGGGGGGGGTGCACCTAAGCCGACGATGCCATTTTCCGCTTGAAAAAACACG